AAAATTCTTTTCGAGATTTAGAATTAGAATCACCCAGAGGGTAGTGAGCGATGTTGCTACCGATGAAGAGAAGTTCCTTATCATTAAAAAAGAACACAAAAGAGCTCATCGGAACGGGAGAGAAAATAAGAGAACAAATATTGGAAACATTTTATTTTCCACAAATGGCCAAATTAATCAAAGATTACACAAAATCGTGTGAAATTTGCCATTGTAACAAGTACGAACGTCGACCTCCCAAACCCGAAATCCAAGCCACACCTGTTCCATCGTATCCCAGTGAGATTCTCCATATAGATATTATCGAAATTGCAGGGGAAAAATATATAACCTGCCTGGATAAATTCTCAAAATTCGTAAAATTTTTCCGAATAAAAAATAAATCTGTTCTACATATCCGAGACAAGTTGATAAAGCTTCTTCATTTCTACTCTGTCCCGAAAACGCTGGTAATGGACAATGAGGGCAGTTTTATTAGCCCAATCACATTGAACTACTTGGAGGCCTTAGGAATAGAAATCTATTTGACCCCTCCTCAGAAAAGCGAAGTAAATGGTGCGGTGGAACGCGCCCACTCTACAATAATCGAAATAGTTCGATGTCTTCAAGCCGAATATCCCGACTTTTCTGTTAATGAGATCATTAACATTGCTGTTGATAGATATAATAATACGATCCACTCAGCAACAAATAAGAAACTATCCGACATCTTCCTTGGCAGGACGAACAGAATAAACGACTGAAACTCAAGGATGAGAGCGTGAAGACTCCCACCAGTGCGAATTGGCACAACAAAAAAAGGACAAAAATTAAAACATATGAACCAGGCGAAACCGTTTTTAAAAAAGACAAACAAATAAAAAAGAAAAATAAACCTATTTATAAGAAAGAAACCGTAGGGAAAGACAATAATGTAACAATCACCACTAGTAATAACAGAAAAATTCACAAATCGCACTAAAAAATTACAAATTTTCCGTTTATTAGGTTGATACCATGGGGTATGGAAGCAACAGTGGACATATACGAATACAAAAGCCCATTGGTGACTATAAAAGAGGGCATAGGAAAAATATCAAACGGTTACTACAAAGTCATACACGCCATCGACTTGGACGATTATGAACGAATTCTCAATGACATCAAACCCATTATACGCTATCAAACTAGCAGAACAAGCCCTCTAGCTTCACAGCTAGACTACCAAGTCTCACAAATCGATAACCTTTTAGATCAGTTACGGGCTAGAAACGTTAAAAAGAACAAACGATCAATCAATTGGATTG